AACGTAACTGGGTGATTATAAAGGAGCTCTACAGGTGTCTCCAAAGGTATATGTTGGGTTAGCGTATTTCGAGATTAGGATTTGTCACTCCGATTGTCGGAGAGGTATCTCTGGGCCCTCTCGGTAATGCACATCATATAAGCCTTGCAAGCATTGCAACTAATGAGTTAGTTGTGAGATGATGTATTACGGAACGAGTAAAGAGACTTGCCGGTAACGAGATTGAACTAGGTATTAAGATACCGACGATCGAATCTCGGGCAAGTAACATACCGATGACAAAGGGAACAACGTGTGTTGTTATGCGGTCTGACCGATAAAGATCTTCGTAGAATATGTGGGAGCCAATATGAGCATCCAGGTTCCGCTATTGGTTATTGACTGGAGACGTGTCTCGGTCATGTCTACATTGTTCTCGAACCCGTAGGGTCCGCACGCTTAAGGTTTCAATGACAGTTATATTATGAGTTTATGAGTTTTGATGTACCGAAGGAGTTCAGAGTCCCGGATGAGATTGGGGACATGACGAGGAGTCTCGAAATGGTCGAGACGTAAAGATCGATATATTGGACGACTATATTCGGACATCGGAAAGGTTCCGAGTGATTCGGGTATTTTTCGGAGTACCGGAGAGTTACGGGAATACGTATTGGGCCTTATTGGGCCATACGGGAAAGAAGAAAAAGGGCCTCGAGGGTGGCCGCACCCCTCCCCTTGGTCCGGCCTCCTCCTCCCTTGCTCCTTTATATACGGGGGCAGGGGGGCACCTCTAGACACAAGTTGATCGACATGATCATATTCTTAGCCGTGTGCGGTGCCCCCTTCCACCATAATCCTCGATAATATTGTAGCGGTGCTTAGGCGAAGCCCTGCGACGGTAGTACATCAAGATCGTCACCACGCCGTCGTGCTGACGGAACTCTTCCCCGACACTTTGCTGGATCGGAGTCCGGGGATCGTCATCGAGCTGAACGTGTGCTAGAACTCGGAGGTGCCGTAGTTTCGGTGCTTGATCGGTCGGGCCGTGAAGAGGTACGACTACATCAACCGCGTTGTGCTAACGCTTCCGCTGTTGGTCTACAAGGATACGTAGATCACACTCTCCCCTCTCGTTGCTATGCATCACCATGCTCTTGCGTGCGCGTAGGAAATTTTTTGAAATTACTACGTTCCCCAACAGGGACAACCCACCTAGGCGAGCCTGGTGAGGGGGGCGCACCCTGGTGGGTTGTGCCCATCCAGGTGCCCCCCTTCGGCAGGTCTTGGCTCCAGAAATTCTCTTTTATTATATAAAAATTCCTCGTAAAGTTTTGTTCCATTTCGAGAACTTTTATTTCTGCACAAAACAACACCATGGTAGTTCTATTGAAAACAATGTCAGTCCGGGGTTAGTTTCATTCAAATCATGCAAATTAAAGTCCAAAATAAGAGGAAAAGCGTTAGAAAAAGTAGATATGTTGGAGACATATCACCTGTCAATATATCGCGGTATCCAGATCGATTGCCACATCGGGCACCAGGCCTCAACGTCCCGATGCCAAATGGCGGATAGCCTTGCCTCTCGTCGGGAAGGATTTGCTATGAAGGTAGAGCGGGTGTCACCCCCTCCAAAGACGTGCACCCGCCTCAAGTATTATCTCGACGACACTGGGTGCGTAACACATTATCCTCCTCGTCAGGGGCTCGCAACACCTCACTGAGGTGGAGCAGCCCCGGGCACGGTGCTCAGCGGTGTTCTCCAAGGCTTAGGTGCCGCCACCGCACATCCTCACAGACCTTTGCTCACGGAGGCGTGACCCCCAACCGGTCCATGACCACCAAGAAGACCGACACTCACCCGGTCCAAGACAACCGAGGAGACCGGCGTAGTTGGGATGTAAGGTCAAAGGTTGTCAGAATCGTGATTCTATTGTACGATTCTGTGACTTTACGATTCAAACTAAACACTCTGATTCTATTATATTGGTTAGTAGAATCTACATTTTTACGATTCTGATAGTTAAGATTCTATGATTTGTGATCCTACCATCGGAGCTATAATCCGATTCAGAATCAAGATTCTGACAACTGTGAGGGCACGGCCACCCGCATGACCACCCACCAGCACCCGGATGACGGCCCCCGTCGCAAGGGCACCACCATGCCCATCAACCGAAGCCGCTGCCGCAAGCCTGAAAGGCCAAACCTTGCCCGCCTCCCACCAAGAGACGGGTTACCGATGCGCAGCCGGGCAGCCCTGCTGCCGGACCAGCGCTCCACCACATCCCGCACTCCAACCTCCCGCCAGCGACCAACCAAATCAAATCACACTTGAGCACCGCAAAACCAGATCCGTGCGCAATGGCGAAGGTCCGCACACGAGGCGGCCTGGCGACGGTCGGCCCGGTCCATGGATTGACACCCTGTTAGATCCATTGGAACAACGACATCCTCTAGAGCCCGTGGCTAGGCAGGTACCAACGCCCGACGCCCGCCACTACGGGAGGAGCGGCGCCACCAAGACCCGACCAGAACGGCCGTCGGCCATGACGAAGGAGCTTCGAGATGCAGCTGCTGATGATGAGATCACGATTGGGGAGGAACCATCGGGAGGGGCGAGAGTAGGGAAGGGAGAGAAGGAGCGGGGGAGGCCCCGCCTCCGCCGCGAGCCAGCCGGTGGCTGCCAATGAAGGCGATGAGGTGGGCGCTCGAAGAAGGTGGTGGTCGAAGGGAAACCATAAGGGCATGTACAATGGTTCTATCTTAAGAGTGCCACGTATGATAAATGATGAGGTGGAGGAGAGAAAAATCGTAAGATAAGGCTTGTCTTCTCTTATTTAAGAGAAGATAAGAGATGACCTCTTAGCACAATTTGTTTCACCATGTTTTTAGGAACAACGAATTATTGAAGATAAGGCTAAGAAATGATCCATTGTAGACATGTTTTTTTTGTCATCTCTAATTTACATGCAAGACTTAAGATAAGACTATCATATCAACCATTGTACATACCCTAATCGCCCCCTCCCAACAAGTCGGTAGGGGGGTGGGGGAGTCAGTGATCCTGCTCTACACTCGCATTCCCCTTCCCAAACGCGTTGCAATTGTTGGTAGAGTATAAGAGCATCTCCAACAAAATAAATATCAAGCGCTAAAATAATTTTACAGTGCCACTATAGCATTTATAGCGCGCCGCCAACATTGATTTTCCACATGCCCAAAAACACACACCCAAAAATACACGCAGTGCAAATTATGAAGCACACGCGGTCCAGGCGTTCAACATTTGCAACGGTGATAGCGCTTTTAAGCGTGCGCCTTAAATTCTTTTGCGTGCAAACTATTTTGCAGCATCTGCCGGAGTGTCTCCGGCGCACAAAAAGATCTGTTCTAGCGCGCGGAGCAGGTTTTAGATGCCTGTTGGAGATGTTCTTAACCATGAAACCACTGCTACTCACTACAAAACAATTAAATACCACCATGTTCACGCCTTATTATGATAGTAGTTTAGCCGTGGTTTTTTCTCTTTGGGCTGAGAATTCCATGTTCCTCTGCTTTGGTTATCATGTTCACGCCTTGTGTCATGCGTTCTACCCCCTTATACTCACTCTTTACTTCTTCTATCAATGGAATGATACGTAAGCTTTACGTATTCATGAAAAAATTAAAAAGATTTACAGCATCTGTTGGAGCGTCTCCGGCGCACGAAAAAAAATGATTTTTAGCACGCGGAGCAGGTATGGGGCGCCTATTGGAGATGCTCTAGACCATGAAACCACTGC